TCCTTCCCCTACCCACCCGCTTCGGCTCCGCCCTGCCCCTCCCCGCCGAACCCCGGCGCCGCCTGCAGGAGGGTGAGGCCTACCACGTGGCCCCGCTCCCTGACCCACCCACCTGACCCTGTCCCCGCCTCTCCCCTTCGCGCCCGCTTCCTCTCCAAGTCCTGTCTCAGCTTCAACCGCCGGGATGAAGCCCTGTTCGCCCCCCCATATCCCGCCCACGGCCTCCGGGCCCCGCCTCTCCCCGCCCACCTGGCCTGGCTCCTCCTCTTCTCTCTGCTCCCGCTTCCTTTCCCAGCCCGGTTTTACCGCAACGGCCAGTATAGCGCGGGCCCGGGGCGGGGCACGGTCGCCTAGGCTTGTCTTCCCCAGCTCTGGTACTAGCGAGCGTGGGAAGAGGAAAGCAGAGAGCGGGGCAGGAAGCTCGGGGTGCAGACAATGGCCAGCATCGGAGTGGGCACGATCTTTATTCTCCATCGGCATCTCTATTCGGTTGGGCATTCGCTCGATGACTGGTCCAGGAGGGGCGCTGCGCTGGACGTCAAGTTCCAGTGTTTGAAAAGTGAGAGAAGGCAAATCATTTAAATTTCTTCCTATCTCTGCTTCCAGTTAAGCAACTCCTATTGGGGAACAAAACCCCTACATACCTCTAGGAACATTGCTTTTTTAAAATAAATAAATAAATAATGTGCCTACATTGCACCTTGCAAATACTTCCATAAAGTAGCTCTTCAAGTGTCTAGTCACATATCTCCTTGTATGCTCACATCAGCCTTGGGAGGTGAGTAGTATCCCATTTCACAGGCCAGGGCGTAAACCCACGATGGCTCGGCCACGGTGATGAATTGGATTTAGCTGGTCTTCACTGTGTCGGCTCACTGCTGTGCCCTCAATGCCTGGCTCAATGACAGCACTCACTAAGAGGTCAGAAATGGTTTTTGAAGTTGAATCATCACAAACATTGATTGGACACAGAGTCTTTCTCTGAGTAGTGCCCTCTTAACAGCACTTTAGAGATTCTTGAAAGAGGATGATCAGGCCTTGAGCAAAGGCTAAGAAAACCAGTAAATCCAGGAAATGGAGGCTAGGAGTGTTCACAAAATGGGGCTCTTCCCTGGCCTGATAGCCTTCAATTTTCAAAGGAGGACTCCGTGCAGTTTACTAGACTCTTACAAACATTTGCACTGAAGTGGGAATTGCCACTGATAGAAGCTCTACTAGTACACATGGCAGGGCTAAAAGATGCAGCCTCTGCCCTTTGAAGCCAAAGGTGGATGCTGTGCATCCTGTGTACAGTTGTCTACACATCCTGCAGTCTGGCCAGTGAAGCAGTTTTATAGCAATATAAAAACTGAGGATGGCTGCAGAGGAAAGAGGTTGGTGTAGGTTTTTAACTAAAGAAGAGAATCCTGAGCCTAGAAATTACACTGTAAATTCTAAGTTGTAGCCAGAACCAGTTACATAAATTGCAGAGCCCAACATAAAATGAAAATGCTGGGCCTTTTGTTCAAACATTATTAAGAATTTCAAGATGACAATAACAGAGCATTAAATCAGATTGTGGAGCCCTTCTAAGAATGGGTTCCTGTGCAACTACACCCATAAAGCCATTTGGGAACTTAAAATGTGACAAAATGCTTAATCTATTCAAAATGTAAAATATTATTTTAAAATCAAATGACGTTTCACTATTTCCTCACAGACCAAACTTACTATTAAAAATGATTTCAGAATCATTTTTAACAACATATTTAAATTGGATGTCTGCTTACGAGGCTCTAGAAATAAAAATATGTATCTGGTAACTAAAACTGGAGAAAACCTAAGTAATCATCTACCAAGCCCCTTACTTTCCAGGTGAGAGATTGTTAAGTGATTTGCCTGATATCTCATACCTTATATGAGCCAGAATTGGAACCAAAGGTTCTGAAATTTTCCTTCTCAGACTTTTCTCTAGCACTTAGGTGTTTGACATGTTCACTATAAATATCTTACCATCACATAACCCCATATACGTGCATGTGTGCATCTTGTTATAGGCATGGAGAAAGAGAGGAAGGAAGACAGGAAAGGAAGGAAGGGAGAAAAAGCTTAAATTAATTTCCGGTACTTACCACTACAGATTTATTTGCACAATTTAAAAGCCCCACATAAGTGTATCTAAAAGTTATTGCTTATTTTTTATTTTAAATGTGAAGACTCTGATGTCATAGAAGCTCTATCCATATTAGGAAGGGAATGTCATATTTCTTCCAAGAAAATAAAAATTGACATCACAAGACTAAGTGATCTACCCATTTTTTCAGAAATAAAATTAAAAGATAGTAGGTAGAAATCATTGCAACAATAGCTCTCATTTATTTATCCCTTAGATTTAGCTCAATCCTGTGGTGAGCACTTTTCATGTGTTACTTTATCAAATTGTCACAATTTTATATTTGGGGAACTATTGTTACTGATCCTCACTTCAAAGCTGTGGAGACTAAGATTTAAGGAATTAAAACATTTACCCAAGTTACGCAGCTGCTCTGCAGTGCTGCCAGGACCCAAATCCAGAATCAGCCTGCTCCAGGCCTGCACTTGAACTTCTGCTTATACTATTCTGCCTCTGAAATGTAGAATACTACTAGCCAATCAGCTCTCCTTTTCCAATATAAAGTCTTATTCTGTTTTTACACACTTAACTTAGTCTTTTTGAATTCTGTCAACAATTGCTTTCCTGTTTTTTCCTCTAAGAAGAGTAAATTATTTGTTTATTTCTGGGAATGGGCTATAAATAAAAGTTCTGTATTTTGTTGATTTGTTTGTTCTTTTTTTGTTTGTTTGTTTCTGTTTACGAATTTAATTATTCCCTTAGTAGAAACCTTTCCTGTTTTCCTCTATGCTGCCAAAGTGGTAATTTTCATCACCATCATTTAAATGTTTAAGACTCGGTTGACTGGTATTTACTCTAATTAATGTTGAGAATACTTCCGCAGAAGGTCTCTGTAGAATTTTTTCTTTCTGTGATTTAGATGTAGTCATCTTTCCTTTTGAGAGGTTATATCCAGGAGAAAAGCTTACAGTTCCTTAAGAAAAATACATTTGCAGGGGAATAAAATGTTATTTTATAAAATATAAAGTTCTTTTAACCTGACAACAAGTATGTACTGTATTCTTAATACTGGGCGGAGGGTAGGAGGTTGGAAGGGAGGATCACTGCACATTTAATAAAGATCCTACCCTTACTTATAGAAACTTTTTAAACCTGCCTAGGAGAAAGGAAATAAGAGCATAGTAAAATGGAACTGATCAAAGGCCCAAGGGTCAGGGGATAAAGCCCTGCCAATGTGATTTTCAGCAATTTCTCTTCTGCCAGTCTTCTTATCCATAAAATTCAAAGGGCCACAGACTGGTTTCTAAAGGTTTCAATCCAGCCCTAAGAGTCTACACCATAATTAGGATGATAAGGTTCATGTGCCAAAGATAGGCTGGGCTGTAGGGCTTTTCAACATCATCTGTATTGCGGGCTGGATAATTCTTTGTTGGGCGGCTGTTCTGTGTATTATAAGATGTTTAGCAGCATTCCTTGGCCTCTACCAACTACATGTAAGTAGCACTCTCCCCACCCCCACCAGTTGTGACAACCAAAAGTATCTCTAGACATTACCGCATGTCCCTTGAGGGACAAAATTGACTTCAGTTGAGAACCACTGGGCAGGAATTACAAGAAGATTATAATAATTGCCACTGGAGGCTCTGAGCAAGCCTTCGTGGAGAAGGTGTAATTTGAGCTGAGTCTAAAGGAAGTGCGGGGATTAATGGAGAGGTGAGGAGAGTGTATGAGTATACAGTGAAAGAATTAGCATGCTATAGGCTGCATGGTGATGAGTGTGCATGAGAGAAAGGAGAGAATGGGTCAGCAATAGTGGGTCACAGCTGAGCATAATAGTCTTGAAGAACTGAGAACTTCGAATGCCCCAGAATTACCATAAATTATAATAAATGATTCTATCACCAAAATAGATCTTTTTCGGGGTGGTGAGATAAGTTTCCATTATGCAATTAGATATTTTTATTTACAAATCAGGAAGCTGCAATTAGAGAAGTCTTTATTTTGCTGACGTGGTCAGAGACGTCAGAAGAATTTGGCTGTTAGGTTAGCAGTGGTGTCCATAATCTCTGCCTCATTCCCTGGCCCACCACATTGGATATTATTTCATGGGCACATGTTCTCCTGAAAATTTCACATTAAGAAACTCAGACCATTTTCTGGCAGAGCCTCAAAATCAGGTGTATAAACGTTGCTATGTGTTTTCTCAGTCAAGAGCAAGAAAGAATTACAGTGAGGAACCACGTGGTTCTGGACAAATAAAACCCACAAATGCACATTTCAGGAGGAAAACTATACAAGGTACATGGTGTCTGTCTTAGACAAGCTTCCTTTGGATTATAATTAACAGAAACCTAAACACTAGCTCAATAAACAGCAAATTTATTATAAGAGTAAAAGCACTCTCATGGCTATAAAAAAGGCCAGGCCTTAAGTCCTCAAACAATTCAGAACTGAGAACAGTAAATAGTAAATAGTAAGTGAGGTGACTCTCTCCATTTCCGGGGGCTGACACGTAGTTTTCACTTCTACTTCTTAGCAAGTATGTGCTTCTTCTCTGTCTCTCTATCTCCCTCTGTCCCTTTATCTCCCTCTGTCCGTCTCTCTCTGTCTCTATCTCTGTCTCACTCTCTCTGTCTCTGTCTCTGTCTCTGTCTCACACTCTCTCTCTCCCTCTCTCTCTCTCCCATCTTCTGATTATTTTATTACTTATTTGTCTTGGCCAGGGCCTCCCATGGCTGCTTTCCACCTAGGCCCTGCTCAGCATGACCTTCACGGAC